AAGGTTTGTTCCGAGGCGTTTATTTGACACCTGTTCGTCAACTCTGATCAGAGATTGTTGATAAACCTATAAGCCTTTCGCTCATAATTTAGCCTATTGTTTCTGCTATCTGTCATTTTAGAACTTTAACAATCGTATGTAATGTTTTTATACCCGTCAAATATTTCCCCTTTCCGAAAATTTAACCTAGATCGACTGTTTATGAGCACGTTTTCCTATATTTTCATTAAAGAAAATCCATTTTACAAATAAAATTACAAAAATACTGACATCTAGAACGGATTAATTGTATTTGCATTAATTTCTATGGGAAAAATTGCTTCGGTTAACGAATGGACTCGTGGAACGGATTACGTTCGTTAACCGGGGTTCCACTCTATTTATAAAAGATAGTAAAGGTTTTATTTAAATACAGTAGAACATCGATTATCTGAAACAATTCAGGCTGGGGTTGTTCAGATAACTGATCATTTATGAAAAAATATATTAAACACTGAACTGTAATGTATATATTTTGTATCACACGTCTTACAAATACATATCTTACATAAAGTAGTACATTAAAGTAGGCCTACAGTTTACATTGACAGGGAGGGGGAGTGCTGTGGTGCCATAGCACTAGCGGAAATTTGGATTTGCTGACTGGAACACTTTCGGTTAATCGGAATTTGGATAATCGATGCTCTACTGTACTCTTATTTTAAAAGGAAAATTCAGAAAATAATTATTAAACAAAAGTCATTAGATATACAGAAGTGTCCAAGTGTCAAAAAGTTGTTAATAATTAAACTGGCTTTTACATCTGACCTTGATATTTTTCTTTGTTGAGTGTTGCAAGTGACATATCAGTGACATATAGACCAATCATCACTGATTTACAGTTATATTTTTACAAAATACAATCAGATTCTATATAAAATTATTGAATATATAATTGTCTTTCTTCTTACTAAATTCTGGAGATATATTTACTTTGTCTGGTGTAAAAACCAATTACTGTATTTCATTTCAGTGTTATCTGTGAGAGGGAACTTCACAAACTATTCCAATACTATAGCAACAAAGCTGAATTCTATTTAAAATGCTTTAAGCAATATGTTAAGTTTTCCTATTCTTTTGCCATGTAAACGGAGATAAATATCACTTTGAAACACTCATATCTTGATCACTTAAGTAAGATGGCTAGTGGTCACCAAGATGAAGTTTGATCTATATTTAATAGAATAATTTAGGGTTGAGATTGGAAAGTTAAGAAAAAATGACAATAAGGTTGCCCACCAGGCAACCAAAATTTTATTTGGACTACCAAATGAAGTTGTCCTGTGGCAACCTATGTTTGATCAGAAGATGGAGTAGATCAGGGGTGGCCAAACCGTGGCGCATGCGCCAAACTTGGCGCATTGGACGATTACAAGTGGTGCTTTAATCAGTTCTGAGCAACGTTGCCAGATTTGGCTTCTTTGCAATTAAGAATATTACATAGAAAATTAATTTTTTATAGTCTGTCTTGGCAAGTTCATTTGTTGCACAATTCGTTGCAATCAACTTTACAGATAAAATGAGTGTTCTCCACATAGTAAATTACAGTGTATGCATGTATGTTTATTTTCGATCAGTGCATAGGCGTCTAAATGACAGTGCTACCGTCCGGACAGTCCACGAGTCGGTTGGACTGCTACACCTGTTGACCTTTTTTTTTTT